ACAAACACAACATTTATCCATTATATTGATTTCAAATCCAAACGTTGTTACTGAAAATGATTTTTCAGCATTGTAAGTCTCTTTTTACACAGTACAGTAGTACAATCTTTCATAAATTGTTGAATGCTTTTTACTTTTGCATTTACTTCTAGATTTTATGTTAAGTTGCTCAAGCAAGTGACAAAACATTTAAACTACTTTTCTTACATTATCACAAACATTCTAAATTAAAACTTACCATTGACAGAAAAAGTCAGCTCTACCGCCTTTTCTTTTGCATTGAAATCTTTATTACAAGCAATCCTGCGGTTCATAAAGAACTTTGTTTTCCTACCTCCACGTGCCATCTATTATTGCCTTGTTTATCTAAAAATGCTCTTTTCCTTTACACCTAGCCAAAAAGTCATAACCTATGTGTTGACTGTGAAACACAGTAGACTTTAATAATAGGCATTTATAGTGTAATTACTACATTTTCGTGTCAATCCATGTTCATATTTATCGCAAACAATGCGCTGTTACTTTAATTCAGCGCTTGCAGCGCAGCAGAAACAGACTCAGTGTGGAAATGATCTATGCACTGACTGCTGCAGATGCTCCACTCCTGGAACGCACTGTTGGACCGTGTGCAGTGTGAACGCTTTAATCCGTTAACATGGGCGCGGAAAAATACGCACTGCATATGCACTGCAAACGGAGTATAATAATGTGAACCTGGCATTATGTGTGTGTGCTGCGATTGTGTGTGCGCGAGCGCTGAATGGTTTAAACACTGGCAAGAATTAAAAAGAAATGCAATTTATAAACTTTAGTGACGATGCAACACTGCCTCGTTTTTGCAAGTGACAATTCCTGTGTCGACTGTGCAGTGTGCAGCTCGCTTATAGTGCAGACGCGATGTGATACAGGAACTCTTGGTACATACAAATAACCATATATATATATGACACAAAATAGTTATTGAAATTCACAGAACTGACTCAGCAACAGCTGAGTAAAACTGTTTCATCTGAGCATGTGGCACTTTAAGCATTATCGTATCGCATATCGAATATTGCATTATTTAATGAGTTATCGCATATCGCATTTTTCTTCAATATCGCACAGCCCTAGCGCGCGCTGTTATTCACTCAGACTGTTTGTGAAATTATGTCTCACAGAAAGTTTTCCAATTACTTTAAGTTATTTAATGAAGACATATGAATTGTAGCTCACCTTCAGCATTATAATTATTTCACCCACGCTGAACTGAGACGGTGCCAAACCTCTCACAGCAGGTGCGTCATCAGCTTTAGATAGTTTTTTGGTGATCGGCCTTTATAGAGACCGCCGATCAAACATCCCAAAGCGATTATCGGCCGATAGTGATCGATAACTGATCAATCGGAGCACCCCAAGTTAAAGATTATAAAAATGCCATGGTAAAACCAGTTAGTTAGTTTTATCTAACAGAACATTATGTATAATTTTACAGTAAAATACTGTTAAATGCAAAAAGGAACAAGTCATCTTGTAATTTGCAGTGAAAAGTCGTAAATTGACATTCCCAGAATTCCCTGTGACAAGTATATATTCCCTATATACTTTTGATTAGGGCTGAACGATTTTGGAAAATAATCTAACTGCAATTTTTTTTTTACCAATATTGCGATTGCGATTTAATATGCAATTATTTTTTAAAGCTCTTTATG